GGAATGAAGCCGAAAGGGTCCGAAGGCAGGTAGGCTCCCCGTTCTTAGAAAAACAAGGCATCAGTAATGCTTGCATTTGCGAATCTGTGTGTTGCTAGCATACGATTCACGATTGAGGTAGACTCCCAGGTACTGGGCATTGAAGATATACAGGGGTGCTTCTCCTACAGCTAGAAGTGCCCCGTGTGGGAAATCTGAGTAACTGAAGTCTGTCCTCACTCGGAACGATATCTCGCATGCGCTAGTTTATAGTAGGCATCATCACACGAATGGAATCTTCAGGTAAAGGGCCGCATATATACGGAGAGACCTTGACTTTGGGGGAGTTGTGTCGTGAAACCATGTGTGCTACGTGAAACAAACTGCAGAAAACTGTATAAGAAATCTTTCTGAAAAGTGAGTCCTCGTATGACTGTGAAATCAGGAGGCGGACTTCTGGTCAAACACAATCAAAGGGACATAAACATTAAGAGATAAGACAATGAGGTCCGACGGGCTTTTTGTCAGGTTTCCGAACGCATTAGACCAAATTTCTAGGTTATTCAAGTCAAGTTTATTAAGGGAAATATAGGCAAACGCCCTTGAACTCCCCATCGGTACACGGTAGTTAAGAAATGCATCGGCAAGCCGAACACTTCAAAGAAGGTCGTTTACATAATTAAAAGGCGAATATCCACTTGTTCCAAGTAATATAATCAGATGGGGTGATGCCAGTTAACACGAGCCAGCAGGTGTAACTGAGCAAAAAGAGCTGACAGTTAGCGGCAATTGAAGAGACCCCAGCAAACAAATATGGTCCATCATTCGATGAATAAATTTCTATGGGTGTTTAAAAACTGTAGAAAAACTCAGCTACCGAAGACTGCTCTTAAACTAAATCGACAGTCCTTGTTAGTTATTAGGTTGCGCAGCCTCTCGGACAACTGAAAAGGTTACCATACGTCAAACACTCCTAATGACAATACTAGGAACAAGCTGCTTTTTGGAGTTTAAAATATGACATTAATTTCTGCTGGTATGAATGTGCATCACGATGGATGCAGATCAACAGACAGAGATCTGGATCTCTGCAGAGCTCCAGCTCTGCCTTACGATGCACATTTTCTTGCTTTGCGGGTTTAAGTAATGAAAATCCTGATATCTAACATGAGAAGCAACATTTTTTTCAAGACATATAGGTAGCTATGATTACCGACTACGATAACGAACTGTGTCTAAACTTTACAAATTAGTCCTGGCGATAGATGAAATGAACGAGGTTTCAGTTATCCTATCATCCCCACAGGACTTTTCACACTCATAACAATTTAAAGACACTTTACGCAAGGAAACGCTCTATTGAGGATAAATAACCAACAACTGCGAGCATAAGAAGCAAAAACGACAAACAAAATCTGTCCCACACAGACGCCAGCTTGAACAACCCGCCTGAAAATATGAAATTTCAAAGTTTTGGGGCGTTCTCCTAAAATAGACTTATATTACTAGAGGTCTTTGAAGTGCAAACCACTGAAATTATCTTGCGAGGCTCGAAAAATATTCGTGGCTTTTATACGTAGATAGCTGCAGGTTAGTCATAACGCGCAATAGGTGATACTTTATTACAAACTACGCCACTGTTTCTGTTTAAAAAGTTGAAAGTCATCTCTGTTACATTGTGGGAAGATCTTGCCTTTAGTAAATCCGCAAACACATTAAACAATAGGTGAATAGATCAACTGCTTCACGTTTACCTTTTTCCCACGAATGTCGTGTCATGGATTATGCAGGGGATGGTGCGAAAGTACAGCGCCAATTGTCAGTCCTGGCTGAGTTCCTGTGTTCAAAACTGTGATGTCCATCCTTGATTCTGCAAAATGTTTATGAACCTGTATCTACGGACTTGTAGTCATTGCTTGGTGCAGACTAGAGATATGAGAAATCTATTGAGAGTGAAGGGGATGAAATTAGATTTTCGTCAGTGGTTAGGCAGAT